AGGCAGCCATTGCAGCCCAGATAAAAAGTGCCCCAGAATCCACCTCTGCCAGCAAACATTGGATAGATGGCCCTGCCAAACAGAGAGGCATGGCAGCCCAGGGCAACACCAGTTTCAACTTTGTTGACACTTAATTGAAAAATGTTCTAGAGGAGGAGAACAGAAGATTAAAGACAACAACAAAAAAATCATTGAAGGCCAAAAAAAGCCTGGAGAGAGCCTGGCACAAGACTAAGCTATATCACTCTAAGAATATTGGTAAATGACCCTGGAAGGAGGACAACAAAAAGACATGAAATGGAACAGACTAGGAAGCAGTGTGACCTAGTGGAAAGAACACTGGACTATGAGGCAAGAGACTTCAATTCAGGCTTTTGTTAAGTACCTACCAATGTAAGTGCTCAGTGCTGGGAATATAAAGACAAAAAGGAAAATGGTCCTTGCTGTCAATTCATTCTACTGATGGGTGATGACACGTGAACAGATAGCTGTGTGTAAATATATGTATGCAGATATAAAGCTATGTAGAAATGTACACAGGTGTACATAGTTATCTGTTTACATGTTGTTGCCATCAGTACATATACATATACATAAATATAAATAAAAAGATGAAGATACATATAATTAAATGTTTGCATGTTGTTCTCCCAGTACAATGTGAGATATTGTATATGATGCACACACACACACACACACACACACACACACATACACACACACACACACATAGCTTGAGCTAAGAGAGGGAGCCAGGAAAACTCATCATGTTCCCAACACAGTGCTACTGCACAGCTGGACACATAGCATACTAACAAATATCAGTTGACTTGAATTAATATATGAGAAGATGACTCTGTGAGAAGAGGAGATAATCAACAGATGGAGAAAATAAATGTATGTATGTGTGTGTGTATGTGATAATTTGAGTAGAGAGTACTGAACCCTTCAGATCTGATTGATCCACCAGTTCCACCAGGCAGCTGTCTTCTTAGTACTGGTATTCTCTTGGTGATGTTGCGTGACTCCAACCATGATTTCAGAAGAAATTTTTTGTCTCTAGCATCTAGCATAGTGATTTGCACATAGTAGGAACTTAGTAGAGAAAGTTAGGTGACTCAGTGAATAGAGCACTGGAGTCAGGAAGATCTGAATTCAAATTTGGCCTCCAACCCTTACTAGCTGTGCGATCCTGAGTAAGTCACTTTACCCCATTTGTCTCGGTTCCTCATCTGTAAAATGAGGACACACTGGATGAAGACATGGTAAACCACTCCAGTATCTTTGCCAAGAAAATCCCATGGACAATTCCATGAGTCACAAAGAATCAAACACAACTAAACAACCACAACAAAGAACTTAACAAACACTTGCCGAATTTAACTGACCTTCACCTTTTTAAGTATCAGTAGTGAACTTTGTTAGGTGGTGAATGGGGTACTGTGTGATCTTGAACAAATCACTTCTTCTCTCTGGGTCTCAACTTCCACACATATAAAATGGAGGGGCTGGATTCCAACACCTTCATTTTATAGATGAAGAAGCTCACAATCCCTAGTGATCCTTTCCAGCTCTAATCTAAACTTATATGAGATTTGGCAATGTTGCTATAATAGTCAATTCTCATCACCAAGAATAGTGGAATTTCCACATTTAGAATCTCAGTAACCAATGTGCTACATAGGTGAGGAAGTTTCAATGCCCTTTAAGAAGGTAAAGTACAATTGAATTTAATAAGCATTTGTTAAGTGCCGTTACATACATGGCTCTTGGTAAGCACACAAAGACAAAATTGAAAAACAGTACCTGCTCTCAAGGAGTTTTTATTGTACTAGAAAGAACAATTGGAGCTGACCAAATAGATACATGGAGAAATTTTAAAGGCACTAAGGGCTCACTCAGAGCCACTTGTTCACCAATGGTGTTGGCCAGTGTCGTAGAGAAGGTCCTGTCTGATATCTAAATAGAAGAGAGATTCCCTCTCAATGGTGAGTATCGCCAGTGTTCCTATTCTTATTTTGACTTTGTGCTTGATTTGCAGTGGAATTCTGGAACACTGTAGAACTAGCTCAATTAGAGCTGTAGTCACTCTAAAAAGATCAGCCTAGCCACCCACACTGAATGAAGTGGGTAAAAATGCATTTTGCATGGATTATGACAGATAACTGGATGAGCAACCTGTTGAATTAGTCCATGGGTATATAGGTACATATGTATGTATGTATTCATGTATGCATATATGTATGTATCTATCTATATCTATCTATCTATCTTAGACTGATACTGCAAATGGATAATGAACTAAGAGCAGAATTGAATGGGGGGAGAGGACAGTAGGCTAGATCACATCTGAGAAGTCAGGCAGTGTTTCTAAAGATTCCAAGCTCCTTCTGCAACAAATGCCCATCTCTTAACACCAATATTCTCTTAGTGAAGATGCTATGTATATGCAAATCATAAAGCAAAAGAATACCATGATCTCAGAAGAATCAAAATTGCAGGTAGGTCAAAAGGCAATGGAGAGATATGTGGTGACTGGACAGCAGCATATTACCGACAGTGAGTTGGATGGGAGAAGTAACAATAAAAGCCATCAAGGACAAATATCACCAGAAAAGGAGATGGGCTAGCCATGTAGCCAGACTGAGGGATGACAGATGGACAGCCCAAGGGCTGCAAAAAAAAAATGAAAGAATCATCAGAAAGCCTCCAGCATGTTGGAGGATTTGTGGAAAGACATGGGAAAAATTTTCACTGGATGACAAGCTGTGGATGGGTTGCAATCTGAAGAAGTGGGTGGAGGACCCACATAGGTGAGATTACAGATCAGTCCAAGTATGTAAGGTTCTAATGATTAGGTCATCCTTCCTTATCTCGAGCTGAAATCTTTCTTCATGAAACATCTGCCCCTGGAGCCATAACAAATGAGAGAGAGTTAAGTCTCCTCAGTTATCCTGCCCCAAAGCCCACAATGAATTTCATGAAGGAGATGTGAGCTAAAAGGGCTACATGTCTGTCTGATTGTCCCTCTACTTGAAAACTAGTTGAAATTACACACCAAGCATTGATTTAATTAAGTTTTTCAGTGTGTGGCATAATTAGTAAGAAACACTATTGGAAAAGGATGGGAGGTCTCTTCAGTGCTTCTCACTATTAGAATTTGGCCCTTAGGCCAAAAAATATGGCAAACTCTAATACAGGGAATATAGAATGCAGGCAGCTCTGACCACATGACATTACTATGTAGACCTCTGTTATTCTTCTATATAGAAGAGGGAAAATAATTATATTTGCCAAACAGAGAGAACATATCATGTATATATTACCCATAATTATGCTGATATAAACTACAGATAGCATATCACACCAATCTAGCCCTGTAATGTATGCATTACATGATTAGAACATTGGGGCTCATCTCTGTGTTATAGAAATAGAATTATGATTTATATATAAGTTCATTTCATGTGACCAGAATTATCTATGGCATATTAGCTATACCATCCTTTGCAGCCTCTTAGCCAAAATCAAATTACAGAATGGATAGTTACACAAACACTTGACCTCTGCCCAAAGGCTGAAAAACAATATATAGCTTTTATACCTTCTGTAATTTCATCTCCATCACATAGAAGGAATATACCACATATAATTCTATTCTTGTGGCATATCTGACTGAAGTTTATTCCCTGAGGTCAGGGAGGCAGTATGGACTAACAGTAAGTGCTCTGGAGTGCACTGGGAGTCAACAGACCATATTCTGGTGCTATTTCTGCCACTAATAAAAATAATGATGACATTTCACATCGATGTGCCGCTTTAAGGTCCACAAAGCACTTTTTCATAACCACTCTGTGAAGTAAGGAGGACGAATGTTGTTATCCCAATTTTACGGCTAAGGAAAGTCAGGCCAGAGAAGTGACATGATTTACTCATGGTCTCATAGCTAGGAAAGTGTCAGAGCCAGGATTTGAACCCAGATCTCCTGATACCAAATCCACCACACCATGCTGCCACTCACTACTTGATCTTGGGCAAGTCACTCACCTTCTCTAGGCTTCAACTCTCTTATCTGCAAAATAAATACATTGGATTAGAAAATGCCTCTAAGGTCCCTTCTGTCTGCGATATACTACATTTATCTTTGATATTCCATAATCTGTGTTCTATGCTCTATCCTGTTTGCGCATGTGTGGAAGCTAACCAAGAGAAAGAGGAAAAAGGAGTAGAAAATTTGGGTGGGCCCAGACCCTATTATGAATAGAAGGTTGAATGCTATACAACTTCTGCCTATGTTTTCTGGCTCATCCCATAAAACACATTCCCTCTCTTCTGTTCCCATAAAGTCCAGTGGCCCTAAAGTAGTTGCTTAAATAAGAAAATGCCAGTAGATCCAAAGCAGTTATAAACTGGCATCTTATCAGGCTAACAAAAATGGCAGCAACTTGAATTTGCCTCTTTAAGAGGCAATTCAACAAATGACATACATTTATTAAGCTCCTACTATGTACATGGCTCTGCACTGGGCACTAGGACATTATCTATAAAGGATTTGTATCTGTTTGCTCTGTAAGAATACCATTATAATGCTAACATTTCACTCACAAAAGAGTGTTGCAGTTCATCACTTAGGACACTAGTTTCTGTTCTTTCCCAGATTTCTATTCTTCACAGGGCCTTTAGTGCATGAACTCCTTAAGGAACCATTGCTGGGACTACAGGAGAAGGGGTACTATGCCCACTCCCTTCTCTACTAAAAGGAGCCTCCACTCTAGGCCTAGGCATTTAGTCTGATTGAGTTAAGACTTGGGGAGCCTGACCTCTGAGAGTGGTTGGGCTCCATTTTCTCATACCTTTTGCCTCATTAAGCCCCATTCCAGTGTCCTAGGGATATTTACTTAAAGCTTAGGTTTTGGCTCATGTCTAGGTCTTCCCAAAGGGGATGGGGGTAAAGGAGTAGAAAGTTACTCAGTGCCCAATGTAAATCAGGTATGAGACAGGTATTTATTTCCTATACACAAAAAAAATACTGATAAACACAAAAGATTCATGATGTATATTGATAAGACAACTTAAAACAAGATTCAGTAACTTAATTTATAACTACTCATATTCTCTTGGGAAGTTGATACTTAAAACCCTACATCAAAATAGAAATCTGTTTACATGACTGCTGAGTAGGCATTCTTTATTTCCCCTCCATTCTACCATTGTCCAAACAATCTCCAGTACATGTCTCCTGGTTAAAAGGTCAGGGCTTGGGCCAATCCTCTTGATGGTGGTTGTCTTCTCCAAGAGTGTTGGAGTAATTTCTGGGGAATTCCTCCTTCTGCCACAAGCCAGCTCTTGCCTGATGGGATACAGTACCCTGGATCCCCTCAATCTCACATGGTCACCTCCAAGGCTGGGCACTTGAGACTGATGTTCAATCACCTTCTCAAAAAAGGAAACACAACATAGACAAGTCAACCAGGGATCTAGGCACAAGCTCACCTAATTGAGTCTATTCTCCATCTGGGAATAGCAGAAGAGAGGGGAGAAGAAGCAATAGCATAGCTTTTCCCCTTCACTACTTGCCACTTAGAAGAGTCAAAGCATAAGAGTCATCTCTCCTTTTAAATGATGCAGCAGCATCCTCACCCCTTCCACTGTCAAGAGCCAAGGGAGGGCCAAGGGACCACTCAGGGCTGTCTACATCAAACCAAAATTCTAGGTCATTCTGCCTGTGGGATACCATATGGTTAGAAGCAGCTAGGAAGGTCATCATAGTCCAAAGACCCCAAGTACTAAGTCTCCGTGTCTCTGAAGGCTCAAAAGGTTCTAGGGGAGCTCAAGGTCCACCTTTCCTGAGATGGTTCCTCAACCTCTGCTACAACTCTTTGGGGCTCTGAGGGTCCCAGAGAGTTTGTTACTGCTAGCATATACTGTAAGACTTGAAAGAGTTAATTCTCCTCTCAAATTCAATAACTATTCAATTCAACAAGCATTTATTAAATGACTACTACAAGAGATACAAACACATGATGAAAAACAGTCCCTAACCTTAATGAGCTTACTTTTAAACTTTTTTTTAACCAGACCTATGATTTCATTGGGACAGGAATCTGCCCACAAAGCTTTCTCTATCAGTGCAATGAGCACCTTCTCTGCAAGGGCACTGAGAGATTAAACAATGTGTGCCAGGCAAAACTTTTATTAGGTGCTGGTACTTAGATGTATAAAGGGCAGAACTTGACCCAAAGGTCTTCCATTCTTGCCAAGGGTCTGAGGCCCACTCTCTCTCCTCTAGGCCACACTGTCTTTTACAAGCTTCTCCCAAGGTTCTCCAAAAGTATCTGAAGACCAGAGAGAGACTTCCACAAGGGGGTGGGATGGAAGAAACTTAGGGGGAAAGGAAGGAGGGAGGAAGGATCCACCTCAGGGAATTTTTGCAGTAGTTTAGGGTGTCACACTGGATCTATCGTCACATAATTAGGGTACAAAAATCAACAAGGCTGGGGAACATTTTGAGAGCTTGTCAATTTAAAAAACAAACTTTGTCTATTCTTAGCTATCCACATGTAGACTACTCTTTTTGTGGATTCTCTGCAATCGGTTTTTAATCCCAAACTGGATCTTACTAAATACCTCAATACCATTTAAAAACCAATTCCCTGGCTTAGATTCTTATACTCTAACCACTGCTTACCCATGTTCAGATTCCTTAAGAGTCTGCCCAATGTGATGGATGTTCTAATAAACCTTGTCTTTGGCTGAAGGAAGGCTTGGGTCAAGTTCTTTCAGGAAGGACCCGGCTATTGTGATTTTGGGGTCCCAGGACCCCCTGAACCCCCAAACCGCATCATTTTGGTGGCCCGTACGGGGAAAATTGTCTAACCCCAAGTTCTTCTCCAGCCAAGACTGGAGGGTATATAAGCCTCCCCCCTCCCCTCCTTTCTTGCTCTTCGGTTGGGGTCGCTCTCCAAGCACCAAGGCTTGGAAGTGCTTTTCTGGCAGACAGTTACCAGGCTGTCTAACCCTAGGCCTGATGCTCTCAGGCTGTCGGTCCACTGGGTCAGTTCAAGGCCATGGACCTGGGTGCACCTTCCATGGCACAGAGGACAAGGATGGACACCCTATCCGGGGGTGTATCTGTGAATTCCCTCGGCGCTGGGGAGTTGGGGAAAACTGCAGTTGCTCTTTGGTTCCCTGAGGCTTACTTGCTCCCTTCGCTCTATGCCCCTGGGTTCTCCTTCGCGGAGGTTACAGGGGAAAGTTAGAACACCTGAAAATATCTTGGCAGATTCTGGAGGTTTTGTGATTGATCATTGAGGAGTTTGGAGCTCCTCCTTACAACCCTGGTTGCTCTTTTCTTCCACTCCCTTCGCTTGGGTGCTTTTGATTTCACCCTCCCCCACCTGGGGAAGGGGTGGAGGCTGCAGCGTGGGCCCCACTGGCAATAGCCTTGGGCCCTAGGGCAGCCTTTGCCTGGAAGCTTCACCCAGGTTCAGCACATCCTGCTCAAGGTAATGAAGCTAGCCTCCAAACTTGGGTGAGCATGCTCTTTTAAATTTGTAGTTTTAACTGTTAATGATGAGATGTTGATTCTCTGTGTAAAGTAATTTGGAAGTGCATTTAACAACACTGAAATCACCTGATTGGTAATGGGTTTGTTTCACATTTCAAATTGGTGAACTTTCTGTATCAGTTATGTCAAGCAACTTTTCATAATTTGGTTACTGCTAAAATAATTTGGCTATTGTAGGTTATTGTTTTAATGTGTAAATTTGCAAGTGCACAGAAATCTCTCATGATTGGCTTTTTACACCAGGACAAATTTAAGTTTGAGATGTAAATCTTGGAAAAGTTCTTCTTAAACTGTGATTAGTAAAACTTGCTGTTTGAGGTAAAAGCTCATAGGATTTTATTTTGAGTTGTCTGATGGGTCATAATCCATCGATAATCAATAATCCACCATCTGAGAGAAATGCCATGAGCTACTCAGAGAAGGTGATGCTGGTGAGAAGTCAGCATCAGGAAAAGCTGAGAGGACAATTTTAGCCTCAGTCTAGGATGGGATCCTCCCAGCTCAGTTTCCCCATTATGTTCCTTTGAAAGGGAATGTTACCCACCTGGCTATTCCTGAGTCTGGCTATGAAGTAGATTTGATACTGTATGATTGGAAAACTGAATTATCTGAATCTAAGCAGAGCTAAGGATGTTTTATCCTCTCAAAGTTGGGCCCTAAATCTAGTCCCTGCTTTATATCTGGGCCCTGCAGTTTTTTTCTGTCAGATTTATGTCTTCTAGACGACAGGCCATTCACCTACAGTTGGTAACAGCGAGTGCCAGCCAAGGTTCCCCCATCGTTCCCTGGATGCAGCCTGTGCTCAGTCCAGTCAACCTCCTCTTTGGGACACCCTTGAGGCAGGGACAGCTCTATGCCCCTTGCCAGCAGGAAGCAGTTTCAGAAGTTGAGACCTTTGCCCCTTGCCCCAAAAGAATTTGGGCTCCTATTTGTTTGAGGGGGGGAATGATGGGGTTGGAATCTGGGCCCCAGAAAGGAAAAACCCTGGACTTTCCTACATGGCCAAATCTCTGGAGTTCCCCTGAGGCTATAATCCTATCAGCTGGCCTTTCGTTGTGGCTATACCCAATCTCCCCTCCATTGTCTTACCTCCCTATGGCCCCAGACCACTTCCCACCCTTAATCCTAGCTATGCTCCATTCTCCCTTGGTGTCGAGGTCCAGGTCCCAGGAGTTCTGTTCACACCAACTTACTGGCCACTCCCATCCAGATCTCCAAAGGCCCTTCCTCCCATCACCCCAAACTACTTGGCCACTCCTAGAGCCTTCCCACAGTCTTTCTGTATATAAGGTCCATCTTGTCTCCATTAAGATGCTCAGATTCTTAAAATCTAGCCACTGCTTAGATTCTTATACTCTAACCACTGCTTACCCATGTTCAGACTCCTTAAGAGTCTGCCCAATATGATGGATGTTCTAATAAACCTTGTCTTTGGCTGAAAAAAAAAATTCCCTCCCATCCACCCCACCGCACCCCAAGCTGGTGTGTGTCTAGAAAATGCAGGCTAATTTTAACAATAGCCTTAGCAAGAAAGTAAATCTGTGCCCTTTCTTCCATTTCTCCCCCACCCCCAACCAAAGAAAGACATGATAGTATAATATACATGCCAAAGTAAGATAGAAATGACTCTTGGATTATTTATACCAATGTACCACCAAGCCTGTGGATAAGTATCTATGAGAATGACAGACAATACTAACAGACCTCTTTGCCATACTCAGGATTGGCCTCAACACATCTTAGATCCCCAACTTCTTGCCCACCAGAGCCAATTCCCACCTTCTTCCTCAGTGACTGTTTTGAGTCTCCTCTAGAAGCCAGACTGTATATCCCCTGGCACCCACTAGCTCATGATGAGAGAGTAAAGAGGACATTTTGTCCAAGTCCACTTAACTCTCTCTCAAGGTCCACCCCTAGGTCTCATCCTGAGCATGCAACCATGGCCCCCCACACAAAGTGTGTGATGAATTTTGAAAATCTCTCTCCCCCCCAACCCCTCCCTGGCCGATGCAGGCTCCAGCCTCTTGAAATTCTGCACACTAATAAAATTGTAACTAATTTACATCCAAGATGAGGAGTGACTGGCAGTGGTTGCTATGGAGACCATCTCGGGAGCCCAGGCTCCTCCACAGACAAGAGCAGCAGAGAGATCAAGAGATTCTGGGCTCAGGCTGAGGCAGATCCAAATGCCAGCCAGTCCTACTGGGCTCCCAGGATGACTGCTAACCCCTCCCGGTCGCCCTCACAGGGTCCAGCAGCCCTCTGAGGTTGAGGCAGGCAGGCCAATAGGGTAAGGCAGACACACTCTGCTTGGATGCAGGACTGGCCTTCAGGGACCAGACTCAAAGGAATGTTTGCTAGAATCTATCTCTGCAGTGCTTCATCCAGGGTAACTGTTCTTCCCTCCCTTTCTCCCCTTATCCTGCAGTCCAACTCCTTCTCATGCACATCAAGGACTAGACTCCCACAGAGAATGATGGAGGACTGACCCTGTTAGTAATACTGTATTACTTTGGGGACTTTCCTAGGTGAGAGAGAACAGTTGTGGTCTGAGTTCATTGAAACTCTACCTAGAAATATTGGCATCCTGAGGGTTTTACTGGACTGTTTTGTTAAAACCCATCTGTGTTTTGTGGAAGCTGTCTAGCCCTGACCATGCACCCAAGCCTTTGGGGTAGGAAGAACCTAGTCTAGGTGCTTGAAGGCCAGGCTCTAAGTGGTAGACCCCATTAGGAGGAGTTCCCAGATTCCCTCTCTGTATCTTACCTTAGGCTTAGACTGGTATTCCAAAGACCTGGATTCACATCCTGCTCTACCACTTAATGACTAAGTCACTTTAGACAAGTTCTGTCACCATTCTGGGCCTCAGTTTCCTCATCTGTAAAAAAAAGGGGGGCATAAAAATAATTGCACTACTCACTTTATAGAGTTGTGAGAAAATATCAAGTGTGTGTGTGTGTGTGTGTGTGTGTACACCAATTTAAAAACCCTAAAGTGCTTTGGAAAAGTTGAAGAAGGAATAGGAAGAGCAGGAAAGAAAAGACTTTCTTTGTAAAATCAAGTGAATCCAAGGACTATTTGTTGAAAGTCTATTAAGAGATTAGTACTCTGCTCAGGCATACAAAAAAAATCTATCAAATCCAAATCCCACCCTCACCCGAGCTTCCAGTCTAATTGGGAAGACAAATACTTGACACGTGAAATAGCTAGAGAATTGCCATTGGCAGAATAGTTGATAACTTCCTGAACTGCTTAGATGTTAATTTCATATATCAAAAGGTGGAGGAACCAAAAAGAGGAAAAACTCTACTTTGGGTCCAATTCTCACTAACAGGGAAGAATGAGCTGCTGGAGTACAAATCATGGGAACCTTGCCAGAAAGTGGGGGTGGGCAGGGAATTACCACTCCCGCCTAAAGTTTGTGAAAAAGGAGAGGAAAGAGGGAATAGTCTAACACATACACTCTTGATTTGGGAAGGGGAGATTTCAGAGTTCAGAGAAAGGTTAGGTAGTATTCCACAGACTAAAATTCTACTGGGAAAATCAGCCCAGGAGGAATGGAAAACTCTTAAAAATGAGATTCCAAAGGGCCCCAAAAGGAAAAAATGTGAATAATGAAGAAAAAACAAGAATTCTCTGAAGACATGTGACTACATGAAGAACCATGGAACAATTGAGATTGTAAAGAGATACAGAAAATCAAAGTCAGGCCAAGCAAAAGAAGATGAATTTAAGAGTTTAGAAGACCTAGAAGAATAGTGTCAGAAAAACTAAAGCTTAGAAGGAACTGAGACTAATAAACAGTTGTTTATATAGAACAGAATATAGAGAAAAAGAAGATCAAAGCAGTGGATGGAAGGATGATAGTGGAGAAAAGAACGGAATAGCTTGGTTTTTACTTGTCTTCTGTTGTCTCTACCTGGGAGAATGAGCCTTGAACTCTGAAGAATAAAACCAAGAGAGCTAACAGTGAATTGCTGCCCAAGCTAAGGAAGGCAATATTAAGAAAGCACCTGAAGTTGCCCTTGATGACTTCAAATCACCTGATGAACTATAGCCTTGGGTACCAAAAGACCTGGCACATGGCATCTGCTGATCTGCTGATCTGTAGGTGTTTTCTAGATAGTCACTAACAACCTCTTTAATAATCTGCTCTAGAATGTTCTCCTGGGATTGAAGTCATACTCATTGGCCTATAATTTCTCTTCCTTTTTATTAAAAATCAAAACTGCCTTTGCCCTTCTCCAAGACTATGGTACCTCTCCAATTCTCCCCAGTCTTTCAGATATCGTTAACATCTTCCAAAAAATAGAAGTCGTGAAAACAAAATCCAACATGGTTTCATCAACAACTAGGCTAATCTTATTTCCTCTTTCAACAAGGTTACCTAACTCTTAGATGATGGAAATGCTATAGATATATTTTACCTGGATGTTAACAAAACCTTTGATAAAGAATCTCGTACTATTCTTTTAGAAAAGTTGAAGGCATGTGGACCAGACAACAATATAATTAGATGGGATTCAGAACAGGTTGAATGGCCAGATTCAAAAGTTAGTCATTAATGGTTCAATGTCAGCTTGGCCAGAGCTGTCCAGTGAAGTGTCCCCACAGATCTGTACTGATCTTGACCCTATGCTGTTTAACATTTTTTATCAGTCATTTGGACAAAAACATGAAGAGCTTGCTCATCAGATTTGCAGATAACACAAATCTGGGAGGAATAGCTAACACACTAGATGACAGTCAAGATTTTAAAATGTTTTTGACTGGCAATGGGTTGAATCTAATAAAATTCAATAGGGACAAATGTAAGGTATTTCACTTGGGTTCAAAAAAAATCAGCTTCCCATATACAAGAAGGAGGAGATCTGGTTAGACAGTGGTTCATCTGAAAATAGATCAGCACTGGGGACAGGGGAGGGTTTGTGGACTCCATGCTCAACATGAGTCAGAAATGTGATGTAGCATCCGAAAAGGCTAATGTGATCTTAGCTTACATTAAGAGAGGCATAATTTCCGGGGATAAGGTGCTGATAGTTTTGCTGTACTCTGCCCTGATCAGATTATATCTGCAGTAATGTATTCAGTTCTGGTCACTACCATTTAAGAGGTCATTGTTAAGTGTCCAGAAGAGGGCAACTAGAATGGCAAAGGGCCTTGAATCTATGCCATGTGAGGCTAGGTTGAAGGATGGTTAGCCTGGAGAAGAGATGACTTAAAGGGAGATAGGATAGCTGTGTTCAGGTACTTGAAAGATGTAATATGTGGAAAAGAAACTAAACTTGTTTTGTTTGGTCCCAGAGGGCAACACTGGGGAGGGGGGCTAAGGCTGCAAAGAGATGCTAGGCTTGATACCAGGAAAATTTCCTAATGATTAGAGCTGTCCCAAAGCAGAATAGGGCTGCCTCCGGAGGCATATGCCTCCTTGGAGGTCTGTAAGTATTCATCATGAATGACCTCCTGTTGGGTATGTTCTACCAGGGAACACTGAGGGATGGGTATGTGTTGGACTAAATGCTCACTGAGTTCCCTTCGAATTCTGCAATTCAGTCTATAATTAATGACTAGGTCTTTAGGCTAAGGTCCCATTCAGAGGAAGACAGGATTAACTCGGCCTATAATAGGGAAGGGGAAGAAAGATCCTCTTCATGGAAAAATCTCGTCTCTTCTCAACCAGACTCTTGTAATAGCACCTTGCTTGGTCTCCGGATCTCCAGGCTATTCCCTCATCAGTCAGCTCTCCATATAGCTGCCCAAGCAATCTTCTTAATATGTCTCTAAGTATTACTCCTCTACCCAAAGACCTTGAGTGACCCTTCATTGTCTAATGGAAACGAGCGTCAACTCCTGAAACTGACATTCAAGGTCTTCCTCAAACTGATTCCATCTTGTCCCACAGTAACTCATGCTACTGTTTTTTTGATGTTGTAGCCAAACTAGAGTACTCTCTATTCTATTTTTACCATGCCTTCTCTTCATCTCTCTGGGGCAGCTAGGTAATGCAGTGGATAGAGTTGCCAGAACTAGAGTCAGGAAGACCTGAGTTCAAATATGACCTCAGATACTTACTCGCTGTGTGACCCTGAGCAAGTCACTTTACCGTGTTTCCCTCAGTTCCTTACCTATAAAATGAACTGGAGAAGAAAATGGCAACCACTACAGTATCTTTGCCAAGGGAAAAAAAACCCTAACTGGGGTCACAAAGAATCAGACATGGCTGAAAAAACTGAAATGTCCCATCTCTGTCCTTCTGTGCAAGCTGTACTCCAGCATGGAATGAGCTCTCCTACCCTTCTACTCAGTGAAGTCTCTCTCTTTCTTCAAGGCCCCACTCAGTTGAAACCTCTTTCATGAAACTTTGCATGATACCTCCCACCTCCGTACCCATCTCCCAAGTGAAAGTGATTTTGACCTCTTTTTCCAGTGCTGGGAATGGGCTTGCACTGATCCAACTACTTTAATAAAATGTTGTCATGTCAATCATTCAATCAATAATTTCCCCTGAGCCTCAGTTTCCCCATCTGTAAAATGAGGGAGTTGGAGTAGATGGTATCTATAGTCCTATTTGACACTTAACATTCTGTAGATTATTCTTGTGCCTGGTCCTCCAATAGCACAGATTGGTGTGATGAGACATATCCTTTTCCTCATAATCATTCTGTTCTAACCCACCAAGCCAACCAGCTACAGAACCAGAGCCACAGTCTTTGCTGTATTCAGAGTCCTGCTTTACAAGCCTAGGAGTGCATGTATCCATCTACTTGCTGGACTTTGGGAAACTACTGGTCATCTGTCACCCCCTCTTCCCTACAGACAGAAATGCTTTCTATGCTTCAGAAACTATTTATTGCTCCTCCAGACCCTCCTTGGCCTGCTTAGCTCTGGCTTATTAGGAAAGTCACACAAGGAAAAACTGACTCAGACCTTCCAAGATAAGCAGCCTGCATCTTTAACCCTAATTCACCCTGAACACAATCAACAGACAAGCAAGACCTAGAGCAGAAACTATGTGAAAATAAGCCCCACACATTTTGGTCATAAAAGAACTCTCAGTGCTGAAGATCTGTCCATCATTAGGAACATCATACCTAATTTTGGGATTGGGACTGAGGTTAGAATTAGGACCTGGTAGTAAAAAACTCAGCACACTGGAAATCTCTGTTCTTCTCCCAAATGACACTAGAATCAGAACTTGAGAGAGGGATGGACCTTAGAAATCATCTAGTCTAATCCCCTAATATCACAGATGAAGAAATGGAGAGCAGAAGTAACTGCCCATGGTCACACAACTAGCTGAGTACAGAGCTGGAATCTGAATCCAGCTAGGTCTCCTGAATCCCTAGTCCAGAGCTCCTTCCCTTACTTATATCAAGCTACCTCCTATAAAGAACAGTCATTTGGGCATGAAGGAGATATGAGCCAGTAATGGTAAGGGAAGTCCATTTATTGACTAGATCAGCCACAGCACTCACAACATCCTACCACAACTTCAAAATCTACATGAGTAAATTGTGGCCACTGGGGCAGCTAAGTGGCATGGAGTATAGAGCGCCGGGCCTGGAGTCAAAAAGACCCATCATCCTGAATTCAAATCTGGCCTCAGATACTTACTCGCTGTGTGACCCTGGGCAAGTCACTTAACCCTGTTTGTCTCAGTTTCCTCATCTGTGAAATTATGAGCTGGAGAAGAAAATAGAAAACCATTCTAGTATCCTTGCCAAGAAAACCTCGAATGGGGTCACAAACAAGCAGACACAACTGAAATGACTGAACAACAACAAACTGTGGCCATGTAAAAGTATTACTAACTCCTGGCAGTTCCATAATGTTTTAAACTTCTTTAGCTAAGCATCTGGGAGGTGCAGTAGATAGAGCCCTGGGCCTGGAGTCAGGAAAACCTGAGTTTCAAATCCAGTCTCAGACAATTTCTAGCTGTATTACCCCAGGCAATTCGCTTAACTGCTGCCTGCCTCAGTTTCCTCATCCGTAAAATGGAGATGCAAATAATGCCTATTCCCCTGAGTTGTTGGGAGGCATGAATCTGATAATATCGTAAAGCATTTAGCACAGCGCTTTACAAATGCTTAGTGCTTAGCACACAGTTGGTGCTTACTAAATGCTCACTCCTTTCTTCCCCCCTTTCAAACTTCCTCCAGGGCATTCATATGTGCTGTCACAGCTTGGTAACTTACTAGCCATTTGACCACAGGCAAGTCCTTTAACCACTGTGGAACTCAGTCTTTTCATCTATAAAATGCAGAAAACCATATCTGTATTATTTTTATCACCAGGCAATTATGAGGAAAGCACTTTGGAAACCTTGAAGTACAATTCAATGTGACTAATTATTATTATCTAAGTTGACACTTGTAATAATACTGCTGAGTGAGGCCCCATTTGCTAAGTGAAGACACCAAGGCACGGCAAGGGGAGCAGCTTACCCAAAGTCATCCAGCTAGGCAGGAACATTGCCGGGACTAGAATTCAGGGCTCTTGACCGCGTAAGCTTTTTCAACGCGCTATGCCTCAGTCATGTGAGGAGATTCTGGAAAGGCTGGAAATAAATGCAGAAAAGCAGGACAGGAGATTCAACTTGGAAGTACTCCAGCAAAAACACATGGAGAGAATAATGGTGTCTTCAATCTGAGAGCCTGGAGACCTGGATTCTGATGCCCTTTGTCAGGCCATTGGCTTCTCTTTTAACGTCCACTTAGCCTATTGATGAGAACAGGGTGGGCTTGCTTTTCATTTCTCTAAAGATAACATCAAGTTGAGAGTTTCAGTCCTGTCCCCTTAGGCAGAATGAAAGTACCAGTTGATTTAATGGGAATTTTTGCCTACAAAAGGGAAATTTTGCTTTATCAGTTTCATAAGGATACCTAAAAGCCCCAGTCAACACTCCTGGAAACCCTTCAGTGAACTTCAGTACAAAGAATATAAGTTCCTTAAGGATAGCCATAGTTTTATTTCTGTCATTTTATCCCCAGCACTCAGCATAGGAAGTGTAGTAGGTCCATAATAAATGCAGGAGACACAAAGTTTTAAAAAGAGGCTATCCCTGCCCTCATAGAGCTTATAGTTTAGAAGGGGGATAAAGCACAAATACAGTTAATTATGATATACAACATTAGAATTTAAGTGTATTAGAGAGATTAAAGACAAGGTGTTCCTGAGTTCCAAGAGGGAAGATCACTCCTGATGGAATTTCAGAGAAGGCATCATGGAGGAGGTGGCAATTGAGTTGAACTCTACAGCATGGCTACATGTACCTGGTAGCTTACCAGTGACCCCAAAATATCCTGTTGTGCAAAAGGAACAAACACATCCCCTTAAAATATAAAATGTGGGTATTGGGTTAGATGATCTTGAAGGTTCCCTCAGGCTCTAGGGTTACATGACTGTCCAAGGCAGCCTAGCACAATAGAGACAACACTATGCTTACTAGTAGTCAGAAAAATCTGAGTTCAGATCCAGCCTCAGACACGCACTACCTGTGTGACCCTGGGCAAGCCACTTAACCCAGTTTGCCTCATTTTGCTCATCTGTAAAATGAGCTGGAGAAGGAAATGACAAACCATTCTAGTATCTTTGCCAAGAAGACACCAAATGGGGTCACAGACTCAGACACAACTGAAAAACAACTGAACAACAAAAAATGTAAGTCAGTACACTCAGAATGCCAACAGAAAAATGTCAGGCTCAATCTTCAGTTTCTGCTTCAATAAAATGTCTCCATGTTGTTGCATCATCCTTACCTGATGAACACTGCATTTGATTGTCTAAGAGACTTCCAGCACCACATTTGTGATCCGTTCCATTCATCTGGTGGTTTCTCAATGGAATCAAGATTTCCAAATAAAGCACTTACTTTTAAGGGTATTTCACTTTGAGCTTGGCTCGGAGATAAGCAGGGCCTTGCTGAGGACAAGCCCACTCAAGTGAGAAAGAACCTTGAAGCCTAGAGCTGAGCTGGTGTGTGCAGAAAGATATCTTCTGTGGATGAAACAGTGGGCTCCCTTTTCCCCAGCTGCCTGGGAGATTTCTCTAACTTTAGCTTTCAGGTCCCAGAAACATGTAATTATTCTCCATCTTTTGACCCAGACCAGCTCAGCTCCAGTCTTCTGCCTGTGAGTGGTCCAACCACATACTACAACTCTTCTATCTTTAACCCCCAGGGCTGTGTCTATACCACATGAATTGAGCTGGGGTAAAGTCTTCCTGTTTACTTATTTCTGAGGCCCTATCCTCAAGGCCCAGCTCTTCAATGGATTGTAAATTCTGGATAATTTGTGCAGTAGAAAGGACACTGGGGGAGGGCAGGGGAGGAGGAAAATAAGACTTTTTGAGACAGGGTGTCACTTCTGCTATACCTCAAACCCTTGCCCCATGCCATGCACAGCAGCACCTCACTTGGCCCAAATTCCACTTTTCAGCACACAGCTGAGAGGCAAGAAAAAAGCAAAAAAGGCTTCTGAGTATCCAAAATGTCACAAAATACACACGTCAAGTTCCAAATACTTTACCCAGAATGCAGTCCCTTGGTCCTTACTCTAACTGGACATAATTCTAACAGGTTTCATTAGTTGATTTTCCAGCCCATAATCAGAAGCCGCAAATCAGAAGAGGGGAGTTAGTGTTTTTACAGAGTCGAACACTAGAAGCAATGAGAAGTAATTCCTGACAGCAAAGGTTGAGAAAGAAAAACTATAAAAAGCAGGCACAAGAACTCAAGAACCCTAGCAACTAGGATTACTTAGCACAGTATAAAATAGTTCTAAATATTTCAGTAGCCTTCTGAGGGGTGTCTGTGAGTGGGGTTCAGTATTGAATAGCTCTAGTGATTTCCTTCTGTTTAGCATCCCAGCTGCAAACTCCCCAGGCATGCAGAGCAGTATAAATGCAGATACCAGCTCGTGAAAAGCCATAAAGAAATTATTCTACCCTGGAAGTTATGATTGTATCTGCCAAAGCCAAGCGTGGTGGAGGGAAGGTTGGGGGAGATCTGACTTATGTCAAGGGGAGACACTCTCATGAAAAGGCTGAAGGGGCACATGAAAATAACTTTCAAATGTTTGGAAGGCTGACATAAAGAACAGAAATTCTGCCTGTTGCTTGGTCCTAGAGGGCAGAATTTCAGAAGACCTGGATTTGAATCCTGGCTTTGCTACCAATCATGTAAGGCAGTCAATTTGCCTCTCTAAACCTATTTCATAATCTGTAGAAAGAGAGATGAACTAGGTAATCTTTAACAATTACAGCTGGCATTTATAGAGCACTTTTAGATTTGTAAAGCATTTTATGTATGTTATTTCATATAGTCTTTAAAGTCCCTTTTGCCTCTATAAGGCAGCATAGCATAGTGAAAAGAGGCCTGGATTGAAGTCAAAGGACCTGAGCTCAAGCTGTAGTTCTTTACTTGTTCTCTTTGTGTCTTGGACAAATCATAACCTCTCTGGGCCTCAGTTTCTTGAGGGGGTTGAACAAGACAGTAGATTTTGCTTTGCTATAAGGAGATATTTTCCTAACAATCAGCTGTCTGAAAGTGGAATGGACTACTTTGTGAGAGACCAGCTTCTAGATTATTAGAGGTTTTCAAGAGAAGGCTGGATGACCACATGTCATTGAATTCATAGAAGGAATCTTTGTTCAGGTACAGGTTGGAAGAGATGACCTCTGAGCTCCCTCCATGTTCTGAGATTCTGTGGGAATTATCCTGAGGTCCATACCCTACCCTGCATTCTTTTCTAGTATCAGGAGAGAAAACCCACTCCCTAGTGCTGCTTTCCTTTCTCAGACCTTCCTTGCAGCCTTCTCATGCATGCCTTCTGTTCTAATTAGTTGTAAACATGCCCTGTTTCTCCCTGAATCATCTGTAAACTCCATCCCTATTTCTGTTGAAGCTACCGCCATCTTTCCAATCACCCAGGTTCACAATGTTGGAGTTGAACCAGACTTGTCACTCTTCCTTGCACCCACTAGCCAATCAGTTGTCAAGTCTTACATCATCTCTTTCTCCACAACATATTCCAACATCCATCCCACTCTCCACTCCCTATTTCAAACCCTCATCACCCCTTGCTTGGACTACTACAGTAGCCTTCCAATTGGTCTATCTGTCCCCAGGCTCTTCCCTCTGCAATCCATCATCTGTATAGTAGCCAAATTTTATATATTCTTAAAGCACAAGTCTGACTGTGTGATTTCCCAATTCAAAAAAAGATTCAGTGATTCCCTATTGCCTTAGGATAAAATGCAAACTCGTTTGATACTTAGGGCCCCTTCACAATCCGGATCTAACCTTTATTTCCAGATTGATTCCACATTATTTTCTTCACCTACTCTATATTCTAGTGGAGGTATGGAATCTACAGCCTCAAGGCCAAAGGTTCTTCATCTCTGTATCTAGCCAAATGGGCCAATTTGCAGTTTTCCATTTAACATTACTGTCCTGCTTGTCTTTGCACTGGCTGTCACCATGCCTGGCATGCTCTTCCTTGTCCTTTCCAGTCCTTAGAATCCCTGGCTCCATCCAAGGCCTAGAGTAAGTACTGCCTCCTGTATAAGGTCTCTCCTGATCTCCTCAGTTCTTTTATATGGTGTTTCCCTCTTGTAGAATACAAGCTCTTTGAGGGCAGAAACTGCATTCATTTTTGTCTTTGCATCTCCAGGGCCTACCACATAATAGGCACTTAGAAATACTTGTGAAATGGGTGAATTAAAGGTACCATGCCTTAGTCATCATTGCATCTCCCCAGCACCAATTGTAGTGCTGTGCATAAATCAGATGCAATTAAATGTTTGTTGAATTTTTATTGAAAGATATTTTATCCACAGCACTGAGAACCACTTCAAAATTTTATTTGTTTCATGAGTTTGCAAAGATTGCAACACATTTAAAAAAAAAGGAACCATGGAGAAGAATCAGAATAAAAGATACCATCAAAGAAGTGCATAATTGAAAAAGAATGAGCTTCTCATGTGATGAGGCTAAGGGATAACCAATAGATGGCCTATTTGCCTCACTATTAGATAAGTGAAAATAGACAATCCCAGTAGATATAGACAGGCAATTTTCAAAGGAAAAAATCCAAACTAGCAACAACCACATGAAAATATGGCACCAAATCACAAATTGAAGCAATGTTGCTTCTTGGGAGGTCATGAAATGGACAAAGAATAAGTTGTACTGGAAACAGTTTTGGGCCTGGAGTCAGGAAACCTGAGCTGGGAGCCTGACTCCACCACTCAATTACTATGTGACCTTGAGCAAATCACTTCATCTCTCTGATCTCAGTTTCCCCTCTGTGTCATCTGAAGGGGGCCAAAGACAATTCTAAGAATGAATAGTTTTAAATAATTTTTCAGATTCATTTTGAACATGTGATAATCAAATGTGAAGTAGGAAGCTTTATTATATTTTCAATTGAAATGTCTATTATATGTTTTATAACATTGACACACCCTCAATCACTTTCACATTCATCTTGTAATCCTTGTCATAATTCCTAAGCTTTTTAGATACTTATGTTTTAATTTTGTAAAGTAACATGATGG